GGACTTGTATCGCTGAAGTTTCTCGGAAAGAATTTTTACGGAAATTAACAAACAAGCAGATACACAACAAATTGGTGTCAGAGAGTGTGAAAGAAAAAAAAGAAGAAGAAGATGGAAACGAGAGGTGGGAAATCAAACTACAGCTTAGCAGATTTGATCACAGCAATACAAAAACAGCAAAAGAAACAAGAAGAACGAGAAAATAAACAAGAAGAGAGACAACAACAGTTGCAATAAAACCTGCAACAGTGTCAGCTCGAACAGCAAAATAAACAACAAGAGAGATTACAGCAGTTGTTGGAAGAAAAAGAAAAGAAACAAGAAGAAAGAGACAACAGCAGTGGCAAGAAAACCTGCAACAGTGGCAGTTCGAACAGCAAAATAAACAAGAAAAGAGATTACAACAGTTGTTGGAGGAAAGAAAAGAAACAAAAAGAACAAGAAAATAAACAAGAAGAGAGACTATAGCAGTGGTTGGAGAATAAAGAAAATAAACAAGAAGAGAGACTACAGAAGTGGTTGGAAGAGAAAGAAAATAAACAAGAAGAGAGACTACAACAGTGGCAAGAAAACCAGCACCAGTGGCGACTGGAACAAGAAAAGAAACAGGAAGAAAGACTCCAACAGTTGAGAGAAAGCCAGCACATATAAATGGAAAAGATTAGTAAATTTCAAAGTGAATTAAATACATTAAAGGATGATTTACTGTATTTTACACAAGGAGGATATATTAGCCATGGACCTAATCAGCTCCAGACAACGGGAAGCCCCTTCCAGACCCCGTAGCTAAACACTAATGCAGACATCTTCAGTCCTGTCAGAAGTCACATTCCAGACATGAGTGTCAGCAATAGGGATGATCTAATACGAAGGAAACCACAGGAATTCGATGGGAAGGAACCGTGGGAAGCATATAGAGCACAATTTGAGCTCCTGGCAGAAATGAATGGATGGACAGAGGAGCATAAAGCAGTGTACCTGGCAACGAACTTGAAGGGATAACCACTGGAAATACTCGGACAGTTGTCAGCAGACGACAGGCACAACTATAGAGCACTGGTAGCACTCAAAATAAGTTCGAAGTCTACAGGGCTAGGATTAGGACTAGAGTCTTTGCTAAAGGGGAAGCCTACAAGAGCTGGCACAGGATTTGGAAAGTATGGCCTACCCAGCTGCACCACCCAATGTCCTCAAGCTGTTGCTGATGGACCAGTTTGTAGATGCCTTGGACAGTCCAGAACTGAAGATACAAGTAAAGCAAGCACACACCTCTACTATGTAGGATGCAATGGCCAGAGCTCTCGAATTCGAATCCGACGTTAAGTCCAGCACAGAGTTACCAAGGCTAGTACAGTCATCGGGATTCAAGGCCAGAAGAGGGCAGTTTTTGGAGAAGTTTGAAGGACTTTGCTGGCACTGTAACAAACCGGGGCACAAGTGAGTTCAATAACGGCAACTTCAACACAGGGAAGATGCCACGGCAGGAAAGGCTGCTACCCAGAAAGGTTGTTGGAACTGTGGAGAGCAAAGACATATGAAGAGCCAGTGTAACAAGAATACTACCAATAAGTCAGCCTTGGGGAAACCAGTAATGGTTGGTGTCGAGGAACTTCCACCAACCCCCATTGTGAAAGTTCCAACAGCTAAGTGTAAAATGGCAAGCACACATAGTGTCTACGCGACAGGAAAGCTGGATGGCCAAAAGTGCAACTTTGTCATAGATTCTGCATCTCAGCAAACCCTTGTGAGTATCAAGGTGCTACATCACAAAGGGGTACCAGAAGCCATACAGAAGCTCTGTGGTATGACAGGACATTATGCAATGTTGTGGGGACCAGTGTGGGTAACTATTGAGCTCATGGGCATGAAGGACAGACACAAATTATACTTGGTTGACATTGAAGACCCATGCATACTAGGGTTGGACTACTTATTACTGAGGAAGTGTGTAGTTAATTTGATAAAATGACATTTGAGAACAACAAAGGCCGAATTCGGTAAGTGTTAAAAGAGAGGTTGAACTGACCAGGTGCCATCAAGCTGAAGT